CCCCAAAACCCCAAAACCCCAAAACCCCAAAACCCCTTAAGGTTAAGTCAAAAAGCATTTTAGAAACGGTAAAATTTAACAATATTTACAAAATAGCATATGCCAACTAGTATTATCATATTTATATAAGGATCAGCTTAGTATCTGCTTAAGCATTAATTTAATAAATAGATGCTTTCTTGATATTCTGGTTAACTATTAATCAATATCTGGTTTAGAAAGATTTATGCAACGAATTATTTACTCAGAATAATCCACATTTTTTGGTGGAACTGGGCCTTTAGTTTCTGGAGCTTGCCTCTCTTTGCTTTTTAAATGGATCAGAGCAACCAGCGCATGGCCCATTTCGCTTTAGCTTCACTGTACCCCAGGTGCCTCCGACTATTCCATTAATGTACCTATCGTATTCATTCTTGTAATAATCAAGTTTTATTAACACTTTTTGCTCTTCGTGGAGCATGTAAACAGCAAAGTTACTATAGTTATTAAGGATTAGAGTGTTGTATATTTTCAATTAAACATTTGTCATTAGCACTCCATGAGAGTGATTTTCCTATATATCGCAATCTGAAATATAGACTCCACCAACCTCAGTTTTATCATCAAGGAATAATAGATCTAAAGCAGGGACTATACTCTTAGTGATTGGAACTACCTATGATTTATTTGATTTTTAGGTGTTTAGTTTCCTAGGAGGCTGCCCCCTTGATAAAAATAGAGGATAATCCTTAGCATTTAAAGCAATGCCACACTCCTCATTTTGATAAAACTAGCATTTTATTAGTTAAACTGAGCCCTTCCAATAATCCTTTATAAATAATCCATTTTTCTTGTTTAAGGAAAATTCAGTGTCCTTAATTGCAGTAGTCATTGGAAATTTTTACAAAAACTAAGAAACGTCATGCTAAAGTGGATTACATGGCTTTTCCTTGCATTCAAGAAGCATACCACCCTCTTTGTTTTCGCATATTGAACAGTTTTCAATTAGGAATCCACTGTCACAAATATACAAGCCATAACCTTCATCGCTATGCTTAAATCTGTTACTTCTCATCACAAATTTGAATTTATTTGATTTCTAATGAAGTTGAATGATTGTCACATTGTTCTTAGACATCTGTGATATATCATTCTCTGTTATTTCTATGTTATTGATAGCTAGATCTTGTATCCTCAATCCCTCCCCTTTACATTTGTAAATTCTGTTGTCAGATATCTTGAATATGGCATTGTGAGCAGAGAATTAGAAATACGAACGAATGTTGATGGCTGCCTAATCATACCCTGTACCATAAATCTCATTATTTTCTATATTAATCTTTCTGATTTGATCTGTACTTGATGATTCGCTCAGCCATTCTATCAGGATTCCATTTTTTAAGGGTTTGGAAATTGTACAATTGCATATTTTTATAGATTTAGGGTTTACACAGTGAACAGCTTGGTTTCTAGCTTCACTCAAATGACACTTTTCAAGCTATAATGATCCATTTACTCCTATTCTACACTGATCATAGAAATTGTAAAAGATGCAAGATTTGATTATAGCGATAGAGATAGTGTCCTAGTTATCCTCGCTATCTTCTTCTTTTACAGTTTTAGCTTCTGACATCTTGCTACCGTTTATCCAAAATCCTATCTCTTCCATCAAATAGTCTCTAGTTGGCTAAATAAATACTGAAACACCTTAAGATTCATCTCTCCCATTGCTATCATCACTTTCCTTTTAAGCAAAAGGCTCTTTCTTCATTGATCTTAGATAACAATCCCTTACCTCTAATGTTGACAGATTTTCAATTAAAACAAGTGGAAGAATGACCGTCTTTCTAGCATGATCAACTTTAAAATATTGCAAGCAAATTTCACTATAGCTGAGCTTATCATAAAAGAATTCGAGTTTCGCTTGATATTCTTTAAGTCTATCCATTATCTTGACTAGGTCAATTTTAAATATCAATGAAACTTCACTTATTGAGGATTTCAACTGAGCAGAACTAAATTATGGGTTTTCCCTCAAGAATTCTCTAAAGTCACAAATGACATTGCCATTAACTATTTCTAGTATGGTTCCTGGTGTTCCTAGTATAGAAATGGGATGCTTCATTACTATACATGGAAGAATTATATGCCTATCAGGTAGAGTAATAGTTGAAAAAGGGGGAGCAGCTTTAATTCGATTGTATATCATATTCGATAGAGTGGATTGAGAGTATGATTGATGATCAGGAAAGGATATATTTTTTTCACCCCATAAATCACTTATTTCACTTTCTTTCTTCAAAGGAACTTAATGTGTCTATTGAATTTTTTAAGTGCTAGTGTTATTTTTGTAGTTACTTATATTTTCTGCACCTTCTGTTGTTGTAAATATAGGTGCAATTTTGGAATTCACCTGATTCTGACTCTAAGCGTTGAGGCTCATAATCCTTCCAGTTCCAGGCATAGAATGAGGAATTGTAAAGTTATGTCCCTCATCATCTAAAGTATTATCAGAGTCAATAGATAGATTCAAAAGTGATCTAGGTGTAATGTGAGGCTGACTTGTCATCATATTGAACTTCGAATGTTGCTACAAGCCTGTCGAAATGTTATTGAAGTTATGAGGGAAATCATTATTCCCAATAATTGCCTAGATCATTGACTAAGTCTAAATTTGGTTTAAATGTTGCTGTCTGATATTTGGAGAGCTTAGTTCTTGCTTGAATATCACATTGTTATTACCCAATTTACTTAGATTATTGACCATCAAATTATTTCCTAATTTAAGATTTTGAAATTATGGTATTTTATTTATTTTTTCATTGATGCTTTTATGAGTGTAGATTCTATTGTGGTAGTTAAATCTATTGGGCTGGTGATCTTAGAACAATCTTTGAGTGTCTAATTTTTGAATATTCTTTTTAGGATCATTAATATCTCCCAGATTTAATTTTATATCATCTAGTTTATTAAGTTGCTCATTTAGAATAAATTAGCTGTTGTTAATGTTGCTTTTATGCTAATTATTTCTTCCAGTAAAAAGTTAACTTTGAGTATGATCAGCTTTAATGATACTAATAGAGACTTCATCGTCTTGAAGATTGTCTTTAGAGGTTTAGGAATCAAGCAGGATTAGATCATTATTTTTGTTGTCTTCAAATATCTATTCCTAAATAGTTTTTAAGTCGACCATATTATTATCATCATCTGCCTTGGTTTGAATAGGGCTGTTAAAATAGTTCTACCCTCTTGAAACTTAATAGAAAACACTCTCCTAAGATTATTGAATTGAAGCATAGCTAGGATTTCTGATTTTTTAAAATTATTCTTAGCGCTGCTTATTTCCATTCTTGTTATTTGTATTGCTGTTTTCCTATTATATTATTGAATCGTTTCCTTAGGTCGCGCCTTACGCATATTTAACTGCTGAGTTGGGACCTCCAAGGGATTAAGAATTTATTTTATCTAATTCTACTTAAGATTTAACGCTGCTTCTAAAGTTAAATGCTTGGTTACCAGTACTTTTGATATCAAAATTATGCTCTGAAAGTCGCTTAGCCTAATTTATCTAATTCCTTTATGGTGTTAGTAGTGCTTCCATCGTAAACTATTAGTCTAATTAATTTGAGTTAATATTTAAAGTGAGCTATCCGTTTCTAGAGAGCAATGGCTTTTCTGTTTTAGTCTATATATTCATTGTAGACCCCCTTTATTTGATTTATCGTGACTTCGGTTCAAGTGATTATAATTCCATCTCTAGTTAGAGTTATAATTTCAAACTAATAAATTTAATTAAGGTTTCAATCCATTATTTCTATGTCAATTTTATTATATTTAATTCTGCAGAATTCATCATTCTATGCTTTATTCCAGTATTATGGGGTTTTGGGGTTTTGGGGTTTTGGGGTTTTGGGGTTTTGGGGTTTTGG